TTATCTTAAATTATCCACCACGCGAAGTTTCGTACCCGGACAGACTGAGAAATCTAGGCCTTTTGCCGCTAAGATTTCGCAGAGAACTAAAGGACCTAATACTGTTATTTAAATGTCGTTGCGGTACTATACATCTTAACTGTGAAAAATATTTTTCTCCAGTTTCAAGCCGCTACTCAACTCGAAACTTTGATCCGAACAATCTTAAAATAATAACTGACCATAAGCAAAACTATTACAGAAACTCTTTTTTTCCAAGAGTTATTGAACAATCTATGGAACAATCTACCACATGATTTAAAAAAATGCCAGTCCGTTTCTATTTTTAAATCAAAACTGCATGGATATTTTTCGAACAGGCTGCAAACGTACACACCGCCGTAGTTGGATTCAGATACAGTCCGACTTCTAAAAACTGGATATTTGCTTTTTTATTGTATTGTTCTTGTTGGGGTTGGTTGTCAATTGGGAAATTCTCCTGTTACCTTCTCCTGTCATTGTTTCTGTAAATATGTAATTGTCCTTTGTTGTAATTGTGACAAATTCATAAAATTAAATTAAATTAACTGTATGCCTCGTTCTCAAAATAACTACTTGGCTGCGTTCCGCGTATCCACTCGAATATAGATTTAATTTATCAATCTATTTATTATTAATCTATTGAGAATAATAAATATAGATGTATTAATACATCGTATCCATGCATGATGTTTGAAAGGCATAGCTTAAAAGCAAAGAAAAGAGGCAAAAAACAGTCACAAAAGCAAAGAAAAGCAAGGGGGAATGGCGGATTTAACTTAATAAAATATGTCAGATGTGCTCACCACACAAGATATGAAACCACAATGTGTCCTGCTCAGATTTTGACATCTCAACCAAGCAATACAATATTTTGAAATCACCAATTGCGTGCGCAAGACACACTAGGAAGGCGCATCTAATAAGAAGAGTATTCGCTGAATGTTTTGTTTAAGGGCGCGGGTCAATGATGCGTCCGACTATCAATGAGGAGTCCGACTGTCAACGGAAAAAAAATTTGCAGCGACGACCCTGTGGCGATAATTAATACTACATCTATGAATTCAAAATTAGAACTCCTTAGAGGTTCTTACTTATGTTACAGCAAAATATTTTCGGGAGAAGCAGAATATTGCAGAATATTACATAGGAAATGAATAATTACAGCTTTGGAGTTTGAGGTGTCCAGCTCAACCTGAGGCTGAGGATAGCTTTCCGTAGGGAGATGAAAAGATATATCGGATAGCTTTATATAGGGAGATGAAAAGCACCTATCCGATACGGAATGTACAACTTTCAGAAGCTGAGCGAAACAACATCTCTCCGTTGCAATAATTCCTCTGAAAATACTCTTCCTAAAAGGTACGGATAGGTGTTTTTCACGTCGAAATCGACGAAAGCTATCCGAAAGCTATAGAAAATTAAGCTATCCAGTAAAAGTGTATAAACGTAGCTTTGGTCAGTAGTTCAACTTTAGTCACGCAGAGTAGATCAAATGCAGAGTGGACACGGAATGAAAGCAGAAGCCCAAGCGACAGAACAAGACAGTCGACGCCATGAAGAAGATAAAAGAGAAACTGGACGTTATAAAAACACTATATATCTTATTTTAGTCTTACCATTGTAATAATTCCGTCACCTGGCCTTAGCTTGTGCATAAATAGTACTTTTTTTCTATATACGGCATGACAACTTTATCAAATTTATGTGCCCTTTTTATATAGGCCTACAGTCACCTCTATAACACGAACATTTTGAAAATTACGCTGCTTAAAAAAGAAAATTCCTTATGCTAAGAAGCTGAACGTATTTGAATAAAAATTAAAATCTCTCCCACCGAGCTTCAGAAATTGGTCGAGCTCCAAAGCATCAATAAACGCTAGAGCATATTTTCGTTCATCTTATAACTTTTTCGTAATTCGTGACTTTTATACTAAAGTTATGTTTGAGAAGAAATTTGATCATTGTCAATTTATCCTACTTCTTGGTGATCTGTACAGTTCATTATCAGAAACAAATATAGCTGGTATTTGCTTGGCTTTACATCGCTTTGTGATGATAGAGAATTGCTTATCTGCTCGGTAAGTGCTTACTCGTAATACACTGTAAATTTCTAAACAAGCCTGTAATAGACGGAATAGAATTTATTTTGATATATTGATATAATTGCAAAGCAATACCCAGGATTATCGTATCGAAGGTGACAACTTGAGAATCTATTAAAAGGCATACTAGAAATACATGCATGCAATAACCCCTCGCCTGTTTTCAAAAGATGTATACTCAGTGCCGTTGCGAGCACTTCGTCTCAGGGTGTGTGTGAGGTTAGATAGAGGGGGGTAGGGGGGTGACCAAAATGTTTCCAGATGTACAAAAAATTTTCAGGACATATAATAATTTTTCCGAAAATACAGTTGTTTTCCAAATTCACTTTCTCATGTCCTGAGAATTACCTGAATTCTCCTGAAAATCTTCTGCAAATCTACTTAATTTTACCTAACAGTGCACTGGAAATCTACCTGAAATTCCTTATGAGCAATTATCAGGGGTGTTGCACCCCCCCCCCCAGTGAGTTCCAAGCAAACACTCTGTGATTTATTGTTCCTGTATTTCACCTCCCAAAATATTGTGCATCATACTATACAGCATTTTGCTGTTGTCATGCTCTAGCATGGTTCAAATTTATGAATTTTTATTATATAAAGTATAGTGTTTTACAGAGATTTCAAGCACTGATAAAAATGATAATCTCACATGTGAAATTATGCATGATAATCTCACATGTGAAAATTATCGCCTTTTCAATTATCGCTTTTCTGTAAAAATTATCGCTTTTCATTTAAGACTGTCCTTTATATAATAAACAGAAAAATACATGGGTGGTTGGAAATACCAGATTTATTTTTCGTGTTGAACATGACATCTCACTCGTTCGCTGCGCCCACTTGTTCGCTGCACACTCATGATCAACACTCGAAATAAATCTGGTATTTCATGCACCCATGTATTATTCTCTATTTAAACTACAACTTGACTGGTTTAAATTATTATCAAGTTATCAGTGATTGTAAAAGTTGCAGATAGAAGTGCTTTGTTTTATATTATTATCTTGAGTTATCAGTGATCGCAAAACCTATATTTATAAAATATATATCTATAATCAGGTGTGCGGGTTGTGATAAGGTGGACTTCAATAATTTGGATTCTTGTACTTCACTTGTTGGAATTAATATTAGAATGTTAGGGTTTGTAATCCAAGTGAGCATATACACATTTTAAGACCTAACCATTTTAAGACCAACTCCGGTGCAGCGCTCTAACCAACTGAGCTACAGAGGCCAGCTGTTGAGCTTTAACCGTAAGTTCATGTATATTTAGGTAATCAGGTGTGCGGGTTGTGATAAGGTGGACTTCAATAATTTGGATTTCTTGCACTTCACTTGTTGGAATTAATATTAGAATGTTAGGGTTTGTAATCCAAGTGAGAATATATATATTTTAAGACCTAACCAGGAACGATTGCGAAAAATGCAGCACAAGGTCCTCTGGTAGGAATTGAACATACGGCCCTGCAATTCCGGTGCAGCGCTCTAACCAACTGAGCTACAGAGGCCAGCTGTTGAGCTTTAACCGTAAGTTCATGTATATTTAGGTAATCGGGTGTGCGGGTTGTGATAAGGTAGACTTCAATCATTTGGATTCTTGCACTTCACTTGTTGGAATTAATATTAGAATGTTAGGGTTTGTAATCCAAGTGAGAATATATACATTTTAAGACCTAACCTGCAACGACTGCGAAAAATGCAGCACAAGGTCCTCTGGTAGGAATTGAACCTACGACCCTGCGATTCCGGTGCAGCGCTCTAACCAACTGAGCTACACAGGCCAGCTGTTGAGTTTTAACCGTAAGTTCATGTATATTTAGGTAATCGGGTGTG